AAAACTCGGCTGCCCACTGCGAAAAAGAACAATAAAAGGAGAAGACAATGCAGATCACAAATAAGCGGGGATTATAATGAAAAACGGAAAAAATAAATGAAGGACAAGTTGGAGTTAATTGTGCCTATCTGAGAGCTTAAGCACAGATGTAAAGCAAATGTTGCGCTTGGTTGATTCTTTGAATCAAATTGCGCGAGGGCGTTACTGTGTCTAGAAGATTCAGGGATTCTAAAGCTAACATCTTACAACTGCAGAAGATGGTCAAACACATTGAATTTGTTTCTTAATGGAAAAGAAGAAGTTTCATACGAGTAAACTCGATTCCCAACCATGGATTAGAAACACTTTCAAAAAGCACGAGAAAACATAAGTGCTAACATATGACTTTAGAAAGCAAATCATTAAGCGATACATATTAAATAATCTTTTTTACAAAAACGATAAACATACCTCGTGCAATTGTATAAAATGGCAAGCTCTCCCATCACAATGCCTGGACGCAACGTACCCAGTAGTTGCCCTTCTCGAGAAACTTGAAGCTCACCCTCTGAAAGTGTTAAGGATGCAAACGGAAAACTTTGAACTAAGTTTACATTAGAAGCGAGACACGATTGCCTACAGGCTGTAAGTTTGCACCTTTTTCTTCCTTTGAGTAAAAGTTGCACTAATATTCAAATACAAGTTCCAAAAACGTGTTCCCTATTGAAGGTGACGGCCTTCTGATATCATAGGTTAGTGGCGTTAAGGATCTATGTTGATTGTCTCATTCTTTTCACAAAGATCATTCTATCCACATATAGCGAAACGCTGCGCAATCAGTTGGTTTGCCATGAACAAAAATCTGATTTCTTTCTCATAAACGATAACGAAAAAAATTTCCGTTTAGGAATGGTTTTTTTTTAAATTAGTTCATGGTATTAAATTATTGTCACTATTAATTGGAGATAGACGGTCTCAAAAAACTAGATTCACCTGCAACAACGAACAGTCGATCCCCTGGTTCGCCTTCTTGGATGACCCATTGGCCAGCTCGAGCTCGCATTTCATACATGCATTCTACGATTTCGATGATTTGCTCTTTAGCAAGCTGTTTCAAGAAATCATTCTTGTGCACAGCATCTCGGATGAGTTGTTTCGAGCTAAATTATCAATTATCAACGTAAAAGATCAAAATTTCATGAAGAGATCATAGCGTTGTTCATTTGTAAAGAAATTTAACAAAAGACTAGGATCGATTTCATAGAACGATTTAAGGGCCATCAAAGAAATTGTATTAGCTACCGGCCGCTTTGTACAGTAGGATATTTCACTAGATTACATTTTAACGAGCCTTCGCACACTAACTTCTCATCATACGGTGTACTCAATAATGATAGGGATTACTGATTCTGAAATTTTACAAGAATGTTCCCCCACCTTCTCTTCCCGCCGCGTCCCTTCTTTTGCATACGAAAATAGAAACCAAAAGGGCTGTTCTACTTACCCAAAAATTTCCCGCTAGCTCAGACATGTACTGTAAAAGCAAGTGAGATAAATTGGGATTAGGCATTTATTTCCCACAAATTGCATGCTGTGCAAGTTGTATCACAACGGTGTAGGAAATTGAGTTTGTAGTAAACCTCATTCTCAATCTACCAGTAATAAAACATAATGGGCAAAAGAGCGATCAACTGGGTTCAGCTTCTTCACTTTTGGCACTCTTTTAGAATTTGTACACGTTTGCAACAGGGAATTTTTTTTCATCGATGATAATCCGGCCGGCATATGGAATTTGGTGATGGCGACAGTGTAATTCAGATGGACATTTAACCTATCTTTTACTACACAGCCAAGTTCTTGTGCTATTGATGAAAGACGCTTGTTTTGAACCTTGTTGCCTTAAAGCGACTGAACACATTATCCTCAGTGATGCGCAGTGCGAGAAATAAGGAGAGAATATGTTGAAGAGAACGTTGGAATAAATATACGATTGATGTACAATGTATGAAGTTACGGAAAAGAGGAGTACTCGAATACATCAACTCATGTGCACAATTAGACTTACCCACTCAAAATTCAGATAATGTTCAAACTGATGCCTGTTTGAGATGGTTAGCAAAAACTAACCCAGCAGTCTTGTTGTAATGTTGTAAAGTAGTGGCTTGGTTTTCGAAATTTGTGGGCTCCGCAGATACGGCCAACTTCTTTGCTCGCATACTAGCTCCATCCGAAGGAAGTACAGCCTTCTGAAAAAGTTCGTAGGTAAGTAATACCATGCATCATATCAGACTTGTCACTGGTTCCTCTTTAATTCTTACCTCTTTCAAATCATTTCCAAGTTGTTCAGATCGAGGTGAAGCCGGCGCCACTCCTCCCATTGGGCTAGCCGCCGATTGAGCTTTTTGCTCCAAAACAGAGCGCAGTTTGTCGCATTCCCGCTAGAGAAATTTTTTGAAACAACACTTTACAACAGAGATGCAATGTTGAGAAAAAATGTAGGAGATGACAAGAAACAGCAAAACAATAAACAAAAAACACTCATTTTGAGTGGTCATAAGCCTATGAAAAGAAATAGACAGTTCCCTCACTACTATGAATCCCTATCAACAGATGCACTTTTATCTAAGCCAGACACACAAGCTTCAATTTTGCCTTATGATCCCAATGGTCAGATTTTTTTAAACTTCATCCTTTACTTCAAAAAATTGGGAGGTGAATATTAGGCGACTTCAAAGTGTGCAACAAAACGTTTACAAACTGAATAATCAGCTATGACATTGTCATGCAAAAGATAAGAAAACAAAGAGCTACACCTGACATTTAAGGTCGATTATGCGAAAAAATTGCTAAATATAGAACTAAGGGGTCTTTTGTTCAAGATACCAATTGAAGGATACATGAAGAATTCAAGGCTACTCGGCAAGCTAGAACAAATAAAATATGGAGGTGATTTTTGGGAAGAAGACCTGAGATGAAGAAAAAAACTAAAAGGGAGAAAAGTGAGAGATACACAAAACAAGTGCATTTTATATAAGAAACTTCCTTTCCCGTACATGGAAGGTCATACCAAATCATGAATTCACCAAGATACGCTGTATTTATAACAAGAGAAAAAGAAAGAACATCAAAGCGTTTCGCACGAGATCGAAAACATATCAAGCTACAACTTTACCGCTGTGTTGTGCAGTTGAATAGGCAAATATTTATGCGATAAGGACTGAACCAGTTCAACTCTAATAAAGTTTCTAAGATATCTTGTGAGAAGGAACAATCTGATCAAACTTTTTAATAAAGGGTAGTTTAACATTCCTACCTAAACATTTTAGAAACCATTGCTTAACATGTTAAGTGACAGCACTGCATCTATTGATTCTCAAATATGTTCGTGCTTTTCTTCAATCTGGAAAAATTTCAAAAATCAAAATGTTTTGGCACATCATATATCTTTTAAAAGAAGATGTTCCCCTCTACAAGACAATTTAAGTGGCCTGTCCGAAGATTCAGTTTTGATAAATTAATAAATTTTTAGAGAAATGAAAGCTCATTCGACAGCTTCATTTTTCTGGAATGCCGTGAACTATACGGCGTATAACGCTAATTTGTTGTGATTGCCCATGCTGATTGAAATTCATAATCATTCCCTACAGTAGTAAATTACTGTAAAATTACGGAAGTATACGTATCTACATGGGTTGATTGATGTGCTGATCAGAGAAGAGCATTCTGGTAAAATTTGCACGATAAACATAAAGTTGTTCATTTTTTTCTTTTTCGGGCAAATCGATAATTTTGATCTTACCAACGTTACCCTAGTCCTACAGGAAGGCCTAATGTAAAGTATGATTTGTTCAGTCAGCACGTCAAATCACCCTAGCACTCTCAGCAAATCCGTGATTTTTTTCCTGCAGCTTACACCACCTAATCAACCCTAAAGGGTCCTATCATAGAGAATAGATAT